GGAATTGTTGAAAATAAGGCAATTGTATCTTTCTACTATCAAAACCAAATCTCCTCCTGGTTATGAAAGGAGTTTGGAGCTTCTTATTATTATTTATAGTAAAAACATAACATGAAATCTCATAACATTCCAGATACAGAAAATATGACCTTCCTTATATAAAATGAAAAACAGGCCTAGAGAAATTAAATAACCTGTCCAGAATCACATTACAACTTGGTATATAAGAATGACCACTGGATATTCCATAAAAACAAAGAGGAACCAGCCACCAATAGTAGAAGCAGCTAAGTCATTCTATCTTTGGGATACCCAAGTAATCAGTGACAAGCTCCTGAGTTTCTCCGTTCAAAGGACTCAGAGGAATGAGTTGGCAGATGGGAAATGGCAGAGAGTGCCAGGAAGTACCCTGTGGCTTGGCTGGGGCAGCTGCCACCACTCCCCGATCTCCTCTCCACCAGTGCACCCCCAGCTAAGGTCCCTCCCTCACATTGAGCCTGGCTCTAAAACTAGTACTGTCCATGTGCGGAAGCCAGTTTGGTTCTTGACCAACCTTTCATATCTAAGTTTACTAGCATCTGACAAAGCACCTAGTGTTCAATGTGTCTAATTAAATTGTTGAAAAATAAGAAATGACTGGAACCATGACATCAAGCCAGGCCACCCTGTAAGCCCCTGTACCCGCATGCCAACACAACTGTATCTTGCCCAGTGTCCAAAGAAATATCTAAAATAGCTTACCCAGCAAGATTAGGCAAAGGTTTCTCAAGAACTAGTTTCTGCTAGAACTGTCCTACCCGGGTCAGGACAAATGAGCTCACAGCGAGAAGACACTGCCCTGGCCGAGCCATACAATACCTGAATCCCCTGCAGTGAAGAGACGCCCATGTAGAGGAAGACTCCATAGAGCACCGGCATTGGGATGAACTGAAGACAAAGAGTAGAAAGACCAGATATTACACTTGGTATCAGCACACTCAAGAATATAACAACTTCTAAATTTTCGAGAAGAAAGTCACAGGTCCTGACTGCTGCAGCTCAGTGGGTTGAGCTTCGCCCCGCAAAGCAGAGGAAAGCAGTTTGATTCCTGGTCAGGGCTCATGCCTGAGTTGCAGGCCAGGTCCCCAGTTGGGGGCATGCGAGAGGCAATCGATGTATCTCTCGCACATTGATGTAACTCTCTCTTTCTCCCTTTCTTCTTCTCTCTCTAAAAATAAGTATATAAAATCTTTTGAAAAATAAAAAAAAGGAAGTCACAAAAATCACAGCATAAACATTGTATTAGTTTCTGCTGTCTTTTCATGATTTAGAAGTAGAAGCGAAACAGGCTATGATAAAAATCATTTTGTTCTAAAGTGAAATGATTACATCTAAGTGTAATCTGGTCCTGGTTAAATCATAGGCCTCATGTTTTACCCATGTCAGACACACACTCCTATTTTTTTAACTAGCGAGAGAGGAAAAGTGTATTTTTTTCATCTTTTAAATTTTATTTTTCAATTATAGCAGACATTCAATATTATTTTACATTAGTTTCAGGTGTACAGCAGAGTGGTTAGATAATTATATAATTTATGATGTGATCCCTCAATAGTTCTAATGCCCACCTGGCACCATACATAGTTACTACAGTATTATTGACTGTATTCCCTACGCTGTACTTCACATCCCTGTGACTATTCTGTAACTACCATTTAGTACTTCTTAATCCCTTTAACTTTCTCTCCCAGCCCCTCAACCCCTCTCCCATCTGGCAACCCTCAGTTTGTTCTCTATATCTATGAGTCTATTTCTGTTTTGTTTGCTTGTTTATTTTGTTCTTTAGGTTCTACATATAAGTGAAATCATATTGCATTAGTCTTTCCCTGTCTGACTTATTTTTGCTTAGCATAACACCCTTTAGGTCCATCCATGTTGTTGCAAATAGTAAGATTTCATTCGCCTTTATGGCTGAGTAATAGTCCATTGTATATTATGTACCACCACTTTTTTATCCACTCACCTAATGATGGACACTTGGGTTATTTTCTAAAGTTCTCTTTCTAATAGTTCACTACTGGACACACATGCCCTTCTTTTTCAAAACTGATACTTCTTATTTTTTTATTACAGTTTGCATTCAACACTTTGTATTAGTCTCAGGTGTACAGCACAGCAGATAGACATGCACATGTGTTACATTCATAAGTGTTCCCTCTGATAATCCAAGTGCCCACCTGGCACCACAGATAGTTATTACAATACTGTTAACTACGTTCCCTATGCTTTATCTTACATCCTCATGACTATTTTGTAACTACCAATTAGTACTCCTCGATCCCAACACCTATTTTTACCCTGTCTCCCAAAACCCCTCCCCCTGGCCCCTGTGAGTTTATTGATTTACATATAAGTCTGTTTCTATTCTGTTTGTTTATTTATCTTGTTCTTTAGCATCTACATATAAGTGATATCATATGTTATTTGTCTTTGGCTTATTTCGCTTGGCATAATATTCTCTAAGTCTATCCATGCTGTTGCAAATGGGAAGATTTCATTAATTTTTTGTGGCTGAGTAATAGTCCATTGTGTATAGGTACCGCAGCTGCTTTATCCACTTGTCTATCAATGGGCACTTAAGTTGCTTCTATATCTTGGCTATTGTAAATAATGCTGCAATGAATATGGGGGTGCATGTATTCTTTCAAATTAGGGTTTTGGGTTTCTTCAGATATATACCCGTAAGTGGAATCACTGGATCATAAGGCAGTTCCATTTTTAATTTGTTGAGGACCTTCCACACTGCTTTCCACAGTGGCTGCACCAGTCTGCATTGCCACCAACAGTACACCAGGGTCCCCTTTTCTCCACATGCTCCCTAGCACCTGTTTGTTGATTTAATTATGATAGCTTTTCTGATAGGTGTAAGGGGGTATTTCATTGTGGTTTTGATTACATTTCTCTGATGATTAGTGACGCTGAGCATTTTTTAATATGTCTATTGGCCATGTGTATGTCCTCTTTGGAGAGGTTTCTATTCGGATCTTATGCCCACTTTTTTTTTTTAAAGATTTTATTTATTTATTTTTGGAGAAAAGAAGGGAGGAAGAGAAACATCAATATGTGGTTGACTCTTGCATGCCCCATACTGGGGACCTGGCCTGCAACCCAGGCATGTGCCCTAAACTAGGAATCGAACCTGCGACACTTTGGTTTGCAGTCCAGCACTCAATCCACTGAGCCACACCAGCCAGGGCCTACTTTTTCATAAGGTTAAAATGGGCATCTTTTAAACTTCTTGTAATCAAACAATCATCTCCTCAAGAATTTGATGTATTTTAGCATGGACTTTAAAAGTTTCCTTTTTTGCTACCAAGACTTGAGGACAAGAGTGGAGAGGTATGGTACCTTGTCATGATTTAGGGAGAAATATCAACATTATTATATTGCACTTAAGTATACATACACACCTATCCCATCACATTTATTAATCCAGATAATGTTCAGCCCATCTCTATGAGTTAGGGAAATGAGAAATATAGAACCAAGACAAGGGAAGTCTTATAGCTGAAGACTAAACTTGCCCTAGCCAGGTAGCTCAGTTGGTTAAGCGCCATCATGATATACCAAGGCTGCAGGTTTGACCCCCAGTTCGGGCACATACAAGGATCAACCAATGAATGCATAAATAAGTGACCAACAATTCATTCTCTATCTCTCTCTCTTCTTCTCTCTCTTTCTCTCTCTCTTCTCAAAAATCGATAAATAAACAAATTTTTTAAAACTACTAAAGTCAACTTGCTTTTATTCTGGAGATAAAGAACATTCCCAATCATAATTCCTCTCAGAACTGGAAAAGCCCCCATCGGATTTTATGTTGTGCCAGCTCTAGATGAGTAGACATCTCAATTTGGTGCTAACTTTGTTTGTAGAACTATTGAAAGGTTTTCTAAAAGAACCCTTCTGAGGCCGTCATGGGAAGGCCAGGCCATGCCCATCGCCACAACCTTGTGGTTACACTCCTGGAGGAGCAGCAATCTTTGGGCTCTCGCAGAAGGCACCGAGGCCAGATGAGGAAGAGGGGGAAGGGCTGGGGACAGGGAGTGGAAGTGGGTAAGGGGAATGAGGAGAGGTGGCAAGATTGAGTGGGAAGTAAGGGGTCAGGAATACAGTGCAGAATCCTTTTCCATCCCTCTCAACTCTCACCCTTAAGTAGCACTTGCAGTGCGGGCCGGGGTGCTCAAAGGTTCACCGCAGGCGGGGAATGGAGGCAAGGCAGGTAGGCGTTCCAGGCGGCGGAGGCTTGGGGGCACAGCCGTAAGGCTTTCCTTTCTGCCCAGTTTTCCCAGACGCAGGCCCTCCACCCACACATGGAATGTTTTTTTCTCATGTTTATCTTCCATCTTTCCAAATATCCCCTTTTAACCCCACATCTCATAACAGCCACTGTCCCCTTTTCTACTCCACTTCACAGAAAAATCTCTTGAAAGAGGTGCCTGCTCACACTCTTAACTTCCTCACCTGCTATTTACTCTTCGGTCCCCTGTAATTCAGCTTCTGCCCTATTTTTCTACTGTATCTGCTCTTGTCCAGGCACATTAGGCCTCCCTGTGGCCAAATCCAATGGCCTTTGTTTAGTCTTCATCTCTCTAGACAGTTTCTGCCTAATCCCTCCACTTGAAATAAGCCCCTCGCGTGGCTTCCCTGACACCACACCCTTCTGGTTTCCCTCCCACCCCTGGCCGCTCCTTCAGAGTCTCTGTTGCTCCCCTATCCATCTTCTAAATATGGAGCTCCTCAGATTCTGTTCTGTCTCCTGAGTGATCTAATCAACTCACTTAGCTTTCAATACCATCTATGTGCTATTGACTCCCACATTTACATTTTTAGTCCATAACCCTCCTCTAGCCTCTTCACTGAGATGCCTCCTGAATATCTTACCCAAAATCTGACCACAGCCTCACCCCTCACAAAATCACTTCTCCTTCACTCAGTCTTCTCCATCTTAGATGTCACTGTCAATGTTGTATGAAAGGAGAGAAGGTTAGACTCCTCTTGACAAGGATGGAAGAGGCTCTGGGGTCTAACAACACACATATGGTTAAGGCATTGCCACCTCCTTAGGGGCCATCACTCACCACGCAGGTGGCCAAGTTAGAAACCTAGCAGGCATGTCAACTTTTCCATCTTCCTCACCCCATTCTATATCTGCCAAGACCTTTGGATCTGCCTTCAAAATATACAGACAACATGGCTCTTACCCATCTCTACCACCAACTCCCTCAGCCAAGCCACTGTCGTTTCTTACCTGCAATAGCCTCATTGGTCTCTCTGCTTCTATTTTTAACCCAATCCTAAAACTTAGTCTTCTAGTCATCAGCCAGAGCGAGCTTTTTGAAATATAAAATGGATCGTGCCCCTGTCCTGTTAAAAAGCCCTTCAAAAGTTACCTTTACTGTTTGTCAGCAAGGCCCTGCAGGATCCGCCCCCGCTCACTCTGCCATCTCATCTCACTGTGCTCTTGTCTTTACTCAACATCCCTGAGTCTCATGGCCCTGACATTTCCTAGAACATATATAACTCCTCCCCGCCTCAGGGCCTCACCAGACTGCTTTCCCCCTTCCCCCACGCCATGCCCCACTCCTCATGGCATGGCTGGCTCCACCTAATCTCAAACACCATCTCCTTAGCAAGGCCTCCTCTATCCACACTACGACAGTGCCCCTTTAATTCTCTACAGCATCATGGACCACTATATACTTCCTTTTCTCAGTTATATTCTCTGATTATTATGCTTGTTTTCTTAATTAACTTTTCAATACATCTTATCTATCTTGCTCCACTTGAATAAACTCTTTCTTATTTTCAAATCAGGCACTCAATATATTACCTAATGAGTGAGCGGATGATTGATTACCTTTAATATAGCCGTCATGAAGACTGAGCAGCCCATCAGCACAAAAATCATAAGGCCTGTCACTCTCTGTTCTCGGATACCCAAGAACTTGGGCTGTTCTCCAGGAGCGGAGCACTCGGATTCCAGTTTGAGGCTGTTCACGTGTGTGATGGACAGGACAGTCGCAGCTACAAACCAGGGCAGACCCATGATGGAGCAGACACCCAGCATGATGGCCACCATTAGCAGATCCAGGTGGTAACCACAGCCTTTCTGCGGGGAAACACAGCATTCGTCACCATCAGTAGGGCATAGAACAGTGAGCTCAGAGCATGCCAGCCCCTCCTGGTCCAGAGGGAACAGAGAAGGAAAAGGGAAACCTTAGCCTGGCCAAACCATGGCAATATCCATTCTTTATTCAGGTGCCCCCAGATCTCACTGAGTCTCCCACATTCAAAGAGTCATCCTTTCTCGGCAGAGTAACCGGCAATCAAGCCACATCTTAACCATTCTAGATGGTGGACACTATAGGGGTTGACGATAAGTGTCTTTACTGAGTTCCTACAACACACTCCCAGATCCTTGCCAGATTTGTGTGTTCCTAAGTAAGGGAAGAACAGAGACGAAGGCATGAAGCTGCTCAATAATATATGCACTGGAACCAACCCTACCTCTGTAGGATGCTTGGGCTCAAGGTTTAGTCTGGAAGCCCAAGGAATGGACAGCAATGGGAAACTACCTGCCCCTAGGAAATGGTGGCCCAAGCCCTGCCCTGAACCTCAGGAAGATAAGCCTGACCCAGAGCATGTGGCTATATAAGGACTACTAGGAACTCTGCCTGCTACCTTCCCCACAAGTTTGAGTGGAGAGCAACGGAGCCCAAACTTCTTCTGTATCATACCGTCATGTTCCACTCTAGGGATTAGAAAACCCTAGAAATCTCTTATGAGCGCTTTCTATGGCTTCTTTCATCTAGGTTCTACATCTAGGGTCTCTTTTATCTAGGTTCCTGTTCTAAATGGGTTTATGGTAATTTTTTTTTTTTTTAATGTAACAGGATGCCATTAATCCTTCTAGGTCTGAATTTCTCGTTACCTTGAGCTTGTGTTCCTTTCTGTTAATGATGACAGCGGTGATCTGCTGGTCCATGAATATTAAGATAGTACAGAGGAGGGCCGGAATAATGGCAGCTATCACAGTCCACCAGGGATTGGGGCCAATGGGACTAATAATCCACCCTCGGTCATCCCTTGTCGGCTAAAGGAAAAAACAAGGTTTTATTTTTGTATTTTAAATTAACTATAATCACTGGGGCAAAACAGATCAAACGGAATCACAATATCCACAAATCTTTTTAGTCCTGAATGAAAATCCTTTAAAAAAAAAAAGACATAGAATACAGCAACTCTTTCTTTTTAGTGTAAGCTCTATTTATTTAAAAAACAGTTTTTTACATATTTCCCTTGCCCAGTTATCTTCACCTACATACATATATGCTTCCTTATCTTCCAATACACTCAAAGAATTCTAACTGAAGCCAGCCTACCCAAGTGTGCATCTCATTCCCTGACCTCAAGCTTACTTAAGAACTTCTAACTTTTGTTTTGCCACACTCTCGGGTCTTCAATTTTTCTTTTCTACCAAAGCCCTCCACTCAAACATAATTATTATATACTGTCTAATATTTAAAGAAAACCCCCGCCTGCTCCTCACACATGCTCCAGGAACTATCCTGTCACTATGCTCTGCTCTACAGCATTGCAGTGTACAGCAACTTGTTAGGAAATCTATGACCTTGCTCAGAGTCCATCCTCAATGATCAACTTTTTATGAACTATTCATTAATTTTTCACTTCCTTCCCCTACTCTCCAAATCCCTATGTATAGAGAAAGCAACTTTATCTCAACATTAGCTCAAATAAATATAATTAACAACAAAATTTGTTGTCCAATATCACTTAATAACTTCTAATGACAAACATAAATAACTTTGACTATCTTCCTCCAGAAGCCATATAAGGTATGTACACAGAACAAATAAAGGCAAAGTCGAGGCAGCTTCAAGGAATCTCATGGGCTTAGCTCGATTGGTTTAGGGCCCTCCTCCCACAGCTCTGAAACAGGCCTAGGCACTAGAGTCTTGAGAGAGGAACCTAAGACTGCGGAACCTGGGGACTTGTTGAGCCAGGGCCCTCCCAGTGCCCCTGTAAGACCACACTGTTCATAAATCTTGTTTGGGTGTTCGCGACATAGCCAAACTCTCCTAGATCCTCAACCTCTGCCTCCTCTTCCAAAGTACTCTGAGGAAAAAAAAAAATCCCCTTGTTTGGCAAATAGTGAGAGAGGATAAAAGACCCAGAATTGGCCCAAGCTCAACAAACAAAGCAAAAACTGTTGTATCCAAAGTATTTGGTTCCATATTGGACGTGACTCTAGGATTCAAAGACTCTTCAATAATGTCAGCAAATCCCAAAATCTGAATGGGTTAGGTTCTGAATGTTTGTAGAATCTTTGTCTCCTTAGTAAGTATGTTCCAAGTATAAGTAAATAGTGGGGCCAACATAAAAACCTATCAAACTCTGACTTACATTAAGCCATTGGTAATAGCACCAGCTTTCAGATTGAGTCTCGGTCACTGGAGCCATGTGGGGTAACAGGGAAGGGAAAAGGAAGAAAATTTCTTCTCTGCTTCCTGAAAGCAAGGCCTGCCAATGAACATCTTCTTCGACGTTCTCCCATTTCCCTTTCTCATCTTTCTCCCACCTCCCAGACACCTCCTTCCCAGAAATTCAGTGCCTCCCATCTTAAGCCTACCCATCAGGGAACCATTTCAAGGACTGCTCAATGCTCTCAAATTAATTATTTTTGCACAAAATCGATTCCTCCTGCCGGGTCAACCTGAGCTAGGCATTAGAGAGAAAGCTGATAGTGCGCTCATTCACACAAAGGTGAGAATGGCATATTCTTGGAGGTATTATATATTTAAAGAAGGTGTTTTTTTAATTCATAACTTTCTAACTGGTGGCATTTCAGCAAATTTACCAAAATAAAATAAGAAATTGTCAGGTCTACTTTAGGGAGAGAGGGAAAGGGAAGACAAAGGCCATATGCAAGTCTAAGCCTGCCTTTGTGCCTGTCTTTTTCCTCCTCCCCAGTCTCTGCCGCCGCTCATCTTGGGAATCTTCCCCAGACACTAAGTATAGCCAGGTTTTCTCTCCTCTCCACCCTGTGGGGATCTATGCAGCTGAGCTCAGCTTTTCCATCTTCTCTGTTTACTCAGTTAGTGCCTCCAAACAGAATTAGATTTAACATCCCACATAGCGATCATTTATTTTACTTTTTATACAGGTTTTTGGAAAAATAGTAGCGATTATAGAGAGTTATGCAAACAATGAAATAGGGTTGAAGAGATGTCATGGTTACTCTGGCAGGAGCCCCGGCCTCCGGATGAGGCCCCCCCGCAAGCTCACCTCCTCAGCGGGCAGGGCCCTTTCGGGTGGGGGCCCGGGTCCTACACTGAGCTTTCTCACCGTTCCCAGTGGCCTCCTACAGGCGATGCTCAATGAAAGTGCTGTTAACCAGACTTGTGCCAAGAGCCCCACATTTCCACAGTAACTCGTATGCCTTTATGCAAATGGGCACATTCCATTGTTTTAAACTTTAACATTAAAAACAGTTAAGTGGCATTAATGATTACAAACAATACTTTTTGTTTGTTAAATGAACTTAGCTTTGTTCCTTTCTGACTTGAACTTAGCCAAGCCTGCAGAGTTCACTTTTCTGAAAAGTAAGTTACAAGGAGCAAGGTTCAGATTTAGAGGACTGCAAAACTAATGGTTTAGGATATGGAAAGGGACCTTTGAAATAAACTCAGGACCAGATTCTATGAGAGTGCCAAGTATCCTGAGATTTGTTTACCTTGAACACACTGGGCACTTGAAGCTTTGGTGATGGGACTCCAATCAAAAAATCAATAATCACCATTGTGAAGATTGTGAGGAAAACAGCAAAGTCACTCACCATGGAGCGTACCTGGCACGCAAAAATGCAAAAGGGTTAGAAAAGTGTTTGAGTAGGTTGCATGCAGGAGAAAAGAATTTAGCATCGTAAAAGGTTAAAAAATCCTCAGACAAATGCTTTAATTTTATACTTGAATTAATACAAGCATATTTGAACAACAGAATGTTAACATGCCCAAGTTAATACCTCCACCAAAACCCTTCAATGGTTCCTCATTTCATTGATTTAAAACC